GGTTTCCGGGTTGAAATCAACACTCCGTCGTGTATACTGGAGAAAAGCTGGTTGGGCGAGTGTCCACCAGACTTTATAGCAAAACGAGTTGTTTTCGATTCTTGGATAGCAGCAATAGCTCTTGACATATCCCGGGCATTCTTTGGAGCTATAATGCAGTCAGGGCGGAGGGCGGTGCACGCTGTCGACCAGTAGTTTTGTTGTTCGGTTTCATAGTCAGTCGAGTTGGGTAAATCAACCTCCACACCTTGTGCTAGTAGCTTTAGGCAGAGCCGACTGTTCTGATATGAAAAGCCCGCTGCAGTTGAGACTCCAAGTAGAGCCACGGCTGCTTTGAGTATGATTGAATGCATAATGAATTTATTGTTTGATCCCTAGGCTCCCGAATTCTGCAAAACAAGAGTCTGAGTACCAGCTTCGCCTTAGAGAGATAGGGATTTCGGCCGTCATTTTATCTGACATCTGCTGCTGCCAACACCGCTTGACGACGCTCCGAATCCTTACTCTCAGGCATTGCACGACACATCGGGTTATAGCAAACTAGCTTCATCCGGGAAAAGAAGTGCAAGGTGCAGGGATGCAACGGAAATGGGCCATGAAAGAACGGACCCGCTACAAGTCACGGAGGCCAGCTACACCTTGCGGGATATAAAAAGGTGTGATCTTATGCTGTTTCCAGAAAGGCTCCATACGAAAGCGAATCTCAGATCCGCCTAGTCTCGAATATGCAAACACATCATCCCATGTTGCGATTTATGGCATTGCCTTGACCATGTTCCCGGGTGTAGAACAGTGACCGCCCCTTGAATTTTACAAGGGCCATACTCGTCTCGTTAATATGTCATGCCATTTTCGCTTCCCCCAGCTAATTTCGCTGAAGTATGCAGGAGTAAGACATGTCGAGTCGACACCCCATACCAGTATATAATTGCCGCTTACTCTATGTCAACTAGCTTGGGCGTTCGGAGATTCGAGAACCTAGACTAGTTACTCAGGGTCCACACCAAAGTATTGAGATGCATCACAGAGAAGGTGCTGCTTTCGTATTCTAATCCTTGATACTTTGCCTGCGGGGACTCCTGGGTTACGGGCCCTGGCGGTCTGGCGGAATCGAATCCTGGGGATTTCCAAGCAGATGTTCTCTTTACTCCGTACTCCGTTCATCGTTACCAAGTTCGCTTCTTGTTTCTCCGGTCGAGGTTTGAGTTTGTGCCGGCTCGAGCTTTGGCGTCCTATCCGCGGGAAACCCTATAGCGCATATACACACGTAGCAAGGCTACGATCCGGAGTCAAGAGGATCAATCTTGGTACTTCAAACGGCGTATTTATCGGATGCTACACAATTCTGGCGATAAAATTCACCGTGTTTTTGGGGCCGAGATCCATGTGATTGGCCTGATCCTTCAACTCTACCCATAGCCAGCAGGATGACAAGCCTTGCCAATGGTCTAATTGGGGATGTATCTCGAATGCCGTCCTCGTGGCGGTAGAACTTAGCGACCCTGCAGTGCTGCTGCAATGCATGTGCAGAATGCATTTCGAGTGTGGTACTCCGTAGTAGGGGACACAAAGAATGGACGAGTCATGGCATCGGCCACCGTTGCATACAAAAGCAGAACTTTCTTCATCCGCAGCTTAGCGTGCTGTTTATGCAGCCACTCCACTAACTATGCGATAGCATAGGAGAACTTCCCGTCTTGCCCAAGTTTCGAAGAGCACGAATTTCAAAAAAGAATTTAGCAAGTCTCAGCTCTGGTTTCTCAATGGCTGGCAGTTCAAACGATCCGTCGCTCTCTCTTTCCTCTTGCTTTATGGGCGAGTCCCCGCTGCAAAAGGCGGTTCGAGTCAGTGTACGGAGACTCTCTCGGAAACTCTCTCGAAAATGGTCTGTAGCTAACTTGAGCGTCCTTCGGATATATCGAGGTGCGTAATTGTGGTGTGGTCCTGAACAAATGAACCAACGGCAGACTTTCGTCACTAAATATGCAAAAGGATAGACAGCTCGAGTACCCCGATTCTCCTTTTTAACCCGTCATTGGCATGCACAACGAGTATAAGCAGCCATACAATCACCTCCCCAAGCGATGCAACTCGCGTAAATAGTCAGCATCGGCCACTGGAAGCGCCTGGCTCAACTAGTTAACTAGCCCGCCCAGGCCCAGGCGCAGAATGCGTCGACCAGCGCCATTTTGTGACCAAAGTCTCTCACCAATCGGCGATAGCGGCACTCTCGCTTTGCAGATGTCACTGACGTTCAGTCATTCGATGGGCTGTTGAAGATGTGTCGAGAAGGAGACGTTGTATTCTGAAAGAAGCGAAAGGACGGCCGAGTCGCTGGTAAAGTGCCAGAAGCCGCCTGCGGCCGTCTCACAACTTGTTTTCATAACAGTTATATATCCTCGGCCTTTGCTCTCTCTACCGTACGAAGGCAGTTAGTAGCTGTGATTGAGGTTGTTGTCGTTTGATGTTTGGTTGGTGTGAAAATATTCTAGGAGTGGAGATTGACTACCTAGCTTGGTTAAAGCAGCTAACTAATTAACTACTTGCCGAGGCATCGTTAAACTAGCGACCGCCAACTACATCGGCCATTGAATGATAGAGATCAAAGAGATAATCCATAAACCGTGCTGTTTGCTATCGAATTATTGGTCGAGTCGGAACCATGTCCTGCGACACGTCGTTCCGCTACGCTGGCTAACTCTAAACAATGTACGAAGTTGACAGGCCTTGCAAAAGCCACCTTCCAAGCAACTCTCGGGAATCGTCCAGATACCACCAGTATTAGTTGTCTAAAGAACCCCTTGCATTCCTCATAGCAACGGATATAATGTCTCTCCCCAAGAATCCTATTTCTGCAGAACTCATTACGATCCTAAAATCCCAAGTCAAATCATCTGAGATTCTGACACCCTCGTCTGCGGGGTATGCAGAAGCAATAGCCCGCTGGTCTGATGCGGCAGTCAAACCCGCTGTAAGTAAGCAGCATCTGGCTTTTTTTTTGTTCCTCCTTTCATGGATGAATATATATGGCTGATGAAATGAGTAAAAACTAACGAGATATTGCCAGTAGGGTGCTGTCCTGCTTGCTGCTAATGTGGAAGATGTTAGTGCTGCCGTCAAGCTCGCGCAGCAGCACAAACTGGATCTGGCAGTAAAAGGCGGCGGACATTCTGTATCAGGGACTAGCTCATCTGACGATGGACTGGTAATTGACTTGTCTCGTATGCGACATGTCGACGTTGATGCGGAGCGCAAAACGATCACCGCACAGGGAGGTTGCCTCTGGGTTGACGTTGACGAAGCTGGTGGTCAACATGGCCTGGCTACTGTTGGGGGCACTGTCAACCATACTGGAATTGGTGGCCTTACCCTCGGAGGAGGGTACGGATGGCTGTCCTCAAAGTACGGGCTGGTCATTGACAATGTTCTTTCGGTCACAATGGTCTTAGCAGATGGCCGGATTGTCAAAACTTCAGCTACAGAGGAGCCAGACTTGTTCTGGGCAGTACGTGGTGCTGGCCACAACTTTGGTGTTGCCGTCGAATTTGTCTACCAGGCCTATGAGCAGGTGGACCCGGTGTTTTCTGGATTTTTGATCTTTCAACAGGAAAAGCTCGAGGCTATTATCGACACTCTTAATCGGGGAATGCAACATCCCCAGCTGGATTCATCCACCATGTGCATATTAGGGACGCATCCTGGTACTGCTGAACCCATGGTGGCAACATGTATTTTCCATCGTGGGACCGAAAAGGAGGGCAGAGAAGCGTTCAAAGACCTATATGCCCTTGGTCCAGTCATGGATGGTGCTAAGATGATCCCCTATTCGACTGTTAACGCTCAGGTTAACGAAATGGCCACACACGGGGCAAGGCGAAACATTCAGGGCCTATGCTTCTCTCCCCCCTTGAGGCCGGCCTTCGCACGCAGTGTTATGAACAAATATGCAGAGAAGATAGCAGCAGATTCAGATATGATAGGAACGGCCGTTATTTTCGAATATTTTGACATGAGAAAATGCACAGAAGTGCCGATAGAGTCGACTTCTTGTGCTAACCGGGGACCGACCCTCAACGGGCTACTGACCAGTAGGTGGAACAATAAAAATAACGACTCGGCGAACCGTCAATGGGGAAGGGATATGCAAAAGATGTTTGTGAAAGAGATGGAGCAAAGCACCTCGGCTATATCCACAAACGAGGTACCTCAGTATATTAATTATTCCGAATGTAAGTCCTGCACCTGTGGCATTCGAGACTGTTGGGTATGAATCGGCTTGCTAACAGGGTATCTGAAATTACAGCTAGCGACACATCCTTTCAAAAGATGCATGGCATCCATGCTGCTAGACTGCAAAAGCTGAAGGGGAAATATGATCCCACCGGGATGTTTGGCAAAATGTGCCCCATTATGCCTGCCAATTGATGAGAATCGAGTGCAGAGAGGAGCACCATCATATCCATGGAACAGGGCAAAAACATGGGGGGTATCAATTTGGTTAATAGCAAAGAAAGGACATCTTATCCAGGTTGTGGAATCAGTTCCATAATTTGTTTGTAGTTCGTAGCTTCGTGAAAATGAATGCTATTCTTGATGGCTAACAAAAATAAATAACAGCACTGTTCCAGGCTGCTAAAAGCAATAAGCCTTGGATACAATTGATAGCTGGCAAATTTGTCACTTCTATGGATGTTGTAGGAATGATCCGGAAACCTAATCAATTTCCTTCTGTTACCGATGTGTCGAATGAATTGCTTGTCAATAACCTGCTGTTAACGGTTAACATCTAGCTGGAGATTTCACCAGATCCATCCGATCTGTCCTGGATAATCATTATTTTATACCTCGGGGATTTAGTATTTCTGGGAGGCTCCCAGATTGTATTCCTGGAATTGATACCGGCACCTTTGAGATCCCTTTATAATTTGTCAATCCTGATGTTGCTGACACGAATCAGGTTGCTTTCGGGTGCAATGCCGAGAAGGCCACTCGCAAGCTCGAGATACCTTAAGTTTCTCAAGAAACGGGGTAGAACGTGGCCGCTGCAGATCCCTAGAATCCGAAGACAGCCACTCCTGTCCCCCTAAATCAGCAACTGATATCATAATGAGTAGTGATAATATTCAGCGTTGCTAAAGGTAGCGTAGCCATACGTTGGACATTCATGAGAGAGCTCATGGAAGACATGGCCAGGCATATAGAGTCATCGTGTACTTTGAACATCCTTAGGGTATTTCTTGACACTGTTATCGCCATCTCCTTTCGTGGCAAAGCGGCCAAACGGTTCAAACTGTTCAACTGTCCAACTACACAAGGTGTGAAGTAAGTAACTTGCTGGAAGTTGCTGTTGGTTTTGCATCATTTTTGTCCACGCTGATTGGATACCACCAGCTCAGCTAGTTCACGTGCCGAAACACCCTGGGATTGCCGATGCTTATGTCAGCGTCCGTGCTCACTCTAGTATCACAACGAAAACATCACTAGGTGAAACCCCTCAGGAGTAGTTAATGTTGCTGCTGTGCAGACGGTGGCTTCTATTTACTTTGAGGCCGTTTTGCCTGCTCAACGCCCTGTGGCCAGTGCTGGCTGTCAGAAAAGCATGGCTGACGTGCATGCAGCTATGTGTTGGGGTCAGAGTATAAGCCCGGAGTTTATCAAACAAGCCGGCTCTTCCGAAGAGCTATCCCAGCCAATAAGAGGGCTTCTATTGACATTCCGGGGGCAAAAAGGGCTTCTTAAATATCCGATATGCTGACATAAGCAATCTGTCACTTGCCTGGGCGCTCGAAGGCCGCGGATAGCCGGGGCAGTCGCATCAAGGGCGAGGGAAGAGGTCCTGCTGGCCCCCATATATAATTCGAGGAAGGGAGCGTCCCCCACCGTCCACACACAGACGGGATACATAAATTACTGTCCTCCCGCCGGCTTCCTCTTCGTCTTCTCTCCTCTCTTCTCTTCGTCAACAGCGTCTCTTGCTTGTCCTGGTGCTGCTCAACGCCTCCCATCTGTGTTGGAACAGACAAGACTTTCTGCGGCTATCGACGGCCCCTGCTGACGTCACAAAATCTTCATTTTACGTGGAGATAAGATAAGATGCTGCTCGCACCTCTCGTCGAGAACGTCTCGCTCCTCCTGGCAGGACAGCTTTTATTGCTGGCAGTGGGCGTATTGGTAAGTCTTTATTTTGGGTACGATGGCTTTTATGAAGCATCGTAAGCAGCAATCGAGGGTAGTTTGCTAATTTTAAATGTTTGAAATTAGACGGTCGGGTACTGTGTATATAACAAGTTCCTGCACCCGCTACGCTCGTTTCCAGGCCCCTTTTTGGCCAGCATCACTCCACTCGTTCAGCTTTATCACGGACTCAATGGCGACCGTCATCTCTGGCTTGCCGAATTGCACGAGAAATATGGCACCCATGTCCGTGTAGCTCCAAACTTCATCTCCGTCAACACCGTCCAGGGTCTCCATGATATCTACGGTCACGGAAAGAAAGTCAAGAAGTCGAACTTCTACAATGCTTTCCCTGCCATCAAGGGAGTGTACAATACGCACAATGTCATCGACAAGACCATCCATGGTAGAAAGAGACGTGTTCTCAGCCAGGCTTTCTCGGAAAATGCTCTCAAGGGAATGGAGGATGTCATGCTCACCAACGTCCGTCAGTTCTGTGACATCATGGGAGGTGATGCTCCCGGTCTTGACTCTGATAGATTCCTCAACGAGAAGGGCGTTGCTACCAGAAACATGGCTGACTGGTTTGCCTACTTGACCTACGATGTCATGGGAGAGCTCTGCTTCGGTAAGAGTTTCGGCATGCTGATTGAGCGCGGAAAGAGAGATGTCATTGCTCTTGTCGACAGAGCTGCTTTCAGACACTATGTCGTAAGTACCTTCTATCGTATGAAAAATATGTCAATATTTAGCTAACTGGAGATCTAGTGTGGTTTATGGATGCCCCTCGACAGCTGGCACCTGGATCAGATATTCATCCACAAGCTTACTAACGACCGATGGAACTTCATCAAGAACTCTCGAGTCGAAGCTACTCAGCGTGCCAAAGAACGAACCATGGCCGGCCATGAGGCCAAGAAGGACTTCTTTTATTACCTTCTCAATGCAAAGGACCCAGAAACTGGCAAGGGACTTGCTACCCCTGAACTCTGGAGTGAGAGCAACGTCCTTATGATTGCTGGAACTGACACTACCTCTACCGGTCTCACTGCCACCATCTTCTACCTTGTCCGAAACGCCAACGCCCTCGAGAAGCTTAAGAAAGAGATCCGGTCCAACTTCACTGACGTCGAGGACATCGTCACCGGCTCCAAGCTCAATGATATGGTTTACCTCAAGGCCTGTATTGACGAGGCCATGCGTCTCGCCCCCGCTGTACCCGGAGCCATCCCCCGTGAAGTTCTACCAGGTGGTATTGAAGTCGACGGCGTCTACCTCCCGGCCGGAACTGACTGCGGAACCCCGACTTATGCCATCCACAGACACCCAGACTACTACCGTGAGCCCACCAAGTACATTCCAGAGCGTTGGATTGAGGGTGCGATGTGTCAGGCCGACAGTGGAATGTGGGTTTCGACCAAGGACTCTGTTGACATCGCCCGACGAGCCTTCTGCCCCTTCTCAATCGGGCCCCGTGGCTGTATTGGAAAGAGTATGGCTCTCATGGAGATGCGTCTCACCATTGCCCGTATGATGTTCCTATTCGACATCGAGATCGCCGACAGGACTGGTGAAGATGAAAACGGCCACCTCGCTATGGTCGACCACTTTACCAGCCAAAAGAACGGACCAAACATCACCATTCGAAAGCGCCAGCAGTAAAGCGCAGAATCCCCCGTATTGTGTAAAATGCACAAATTAAACAAGTAGAAACGACCGGAAAAAGGATTTGATGACCATGGTACGATAGGGGGCGCGGCTGATGGGTAATTTTCTTTTCCATTTTTAACGATGCTGATGACCTATTCCAGCACACATGCCAGGGCTGCAACTCTGGTCAAACCATATTGAGACCGTGTGCAACGAGATGAACAGAAAAGCAGATATTGTTTTGCTCAATTTATTTGTCTTGCCGTACCTTATATATGGTTCTTGGGGGGTCGAGTTCCATATATCATGTATTATGTTGCTTTCCTTGTTCTCCAGGAGATGGGATGGATCACAGCACCATAGTATCTCTCCTTATTACTAGACTATATGAGCAATATGATATGTGTTTCAAGCTTTGCTTTGCTTTGCAGGTGTAACACTTATCTCGTACTTACTTATGTGTGCAACATCGTGGCGGCTATTCTTCCCGTCGGCGGTTCCTTGGCGGCTATTTCGTCTAGGGCTAAATTCTCCGAAAGTCGCACGAATATCAACCATATCCATTAAGGTTGCCTCTGCCACGAAAATCGACTGTCCAGCCTTGGGAATTTTGTAATTCTTGACGCGTGGTGCTGGTGCGCTGTGCAACCGACCGTTATTAGTTCACGGATTCCTCCAAGAACCAACTAGTTAACATCCTTCCAGCCGATATGTTAGCACTTTATATAGTTAGTTCGCAATAACGGCAGCCTAGAGTCACATCGCTTGACGAATCGGTCTCGACCGTTAATTCCTTAACCGAGCTTTGCGCCTAATCTGAGCATTGACTCCATCTCAAAGCCATCGCTAAGAACAGAAACATACCACTATTTGCACGTGGAGATGCAACGTTCAGACACAGAACTTGAGTTACATCAACTATTTTTGGACCTGGCTAGAACCCAGAGAGGAGCACGAGCGCCAGGATGAGAGAATGAAACCGTTGGCCTCTGCAGCGCACGAACAAGATGATAATAATAATGATTAAGCAAGGTGGTTGAATTAACGACCCTCGATGTTCAAGGGAGGATATACCGAGAAGACACGAACATGAATCATGGGGTATCTGCATGCTAGGCCTGACCGCAAGGTTGAATCGAAGGAGCGACAAGCACGAACCCGAGGATATACTGCGAAATACATATCGGTAGCTGTCTTCCTTGTGATGGTTAACTTGGAAGAACGGAAGAAAAAGGACCTAAAGGTATACACGGACCTTTTTCATCGACCCAAAGTCGTACAGGATCTGCCTAATTCCCAAGCACGCGGCATTGGGCTTTTCACTAGCTGAAAATAAACTAGTCCGAGAAGACTTTATACCCTTAACCTAGTAGACGAGATTCTTTTCGGGCCCCCAAGGTAGAAAATTGGCCGAAGATAGCGTCATTGGTACGCAACACGCATCTGGAAGTCAAGAAACCACGTGTCAGCGTGCTTTGAACAAAGACAAGCTATTGATGGGCCAGAAAGGTAACATGTTCGAAAATATAGACGTTGAATGTTGCCACCCCTCGCTAACAACTTCATATGCAACGTATCTGAGATGTCTTTTTGAGGCCCATTTGACTATTTGAAGCTCGATTCCCACAGCGGGTACGTGTAGGGCAGATCTAGATAAAGGGAATATGCTCGATTATATTATTTCTCCGGCTGCATACTCGGTGCGAACTGCCGTTTCTTCTGCAGCTCATAGTCCTTGATCTGGGATATCACGATCAACCGAGATCACCGCCAATGTATCCAATAAAAAATTCATCAGCAGTAATAATAGAATGCCGGTGCGGTGCATCCATCTGCCGGCCAAATAGTGAAACACAAAGCCGAGTGAACACTATCTAATCCTACTGGTAGTGCCTGAATGAAAAACCCCCCCAAAAGGAGGCATCTACTTATGTTCTCCGTGCAATATCAACAGTTCTTGTCGCTTGTCTGTAGCTACATAAGAAAAAAGGCGAAATTGGGTTATTATGCCAAGCTTTTCTATCGCATAAAAGGGGAGCGCTTGGACTCCATCACGAGATCACTCTTAGTCAGCGAAGCTTGAGTCTGTCACTTTCACAACTTCAAAAGTTTTTCTCCCTTGCGTTGGTGCAAATCCGTCCACGAGGCAGCCATTTAATGCACTATCACAGGCTGTTTGGCTGCCCTGTTTCCCCCTTAACCTGCCCGATGGTTTATACCCTCTGCTGTGAATTTGCGCTTTCCCCGCGTCTCCACTTCCCCGCTCGTTGCTGGTGGACCGCAGCTCGTATTGTCTCTTGCCGAGCCATGTCTCCGTTGCCATGGAGGTACAGTTGGTACAACTACAGGCCGGATAGCAGGGAGCAGTTTTCCTGGACTTGCCCTATATTGGCAATCCTAACCAGAGAAAACGAAGGTGAAAACCAAGCCAAGTGTCCTTCTGCCCATAACTTGGTCCCCTACGCGAGATCAAATGACCAGCTTCACGTCCCTACCAAAGCCGTCGCCTTGGGAGAACACCAGCTGCTGTGGCGACTGAGCCACCGTACAATCACCCAGATGGCGAAGCTGATCAGTTTCGTCTCTGGAAGAAAATCATCGGGTTCAGGAACGCCCGTTTTGCTTACTATACATCCATACGAGGAAAAGAAATTGAATTTCCATGTTCTAGAGTCGTATCCAATGAATGACTCCGAAGACCAGTATATGGTGGAGAAATCATTACTACCCGTATACACGGAAATGTCACGGTTGTATTAGTTTTCACTAATCCAAGGCCGAGAGCAAAACCCTACCTGTGGTGGTGGTGCAGGGCCTGGGTGGTAAACAGCTTACCTCCACCAAAAGCGATTATTATCTAGATCTCGAAAGCACTCTGAATATATGGGCCTCGGTAGCATCTCCCAAGAACCGTTGAGATGAGAATGATATCTAAACCCCCACAGATCGGGTGGCGGGTATCGTTGCCTCATGGCTCCATTGCACTGTCCCATGGAAAAGTCTGCACTCCACCCCCTATATCTGATCCCTCCCTTTTGGACCAATTTCTGCGTCGTGTACCGAGAACATGCCGGACTGGCGGATCCTGCCATCGTGAATGTCCACAATTGACCCCATTTTTTATTTTTATATTTATTTTTTCCATTTTTATATCTTGCGTATACCAGGTAGGGCTATCGACAAGAACTAAACGAGGTTCCCGGATGTGAGCGGACTCACCTGAACAAGTAATCTTGCATGATGGCTGGGACCCAAAGTGAACTACCCTTGCATATATACTCAATCTGTTATATGTGAAGGTAAACATGCCTCGGCCACGGTCGTTCAGGTCTATATATTATATACATACAGACCACTCTTTTTCTTGTTGCACATGCCACGAACTTGGGGCCGATCCCGCACTGTCTATGCTGAGAGCCAGTTCTCTTCCAGATATACCCACCAACGATGCACAGGGGTCAATGAACCTTCTCGCTAGTAGCCTGATGCGTATGAGCCCCATCAGCTTGGGACAGGCAGGTCAAAGGTGGCCTTCCCTAGAATTTCACTTTCTAATTGCCTCGGGGGCAGGGAACCAAAAATAATGATACGATATCCCTCGACGGATGTCATCAAGAATTCAGCCATGGGTCAAACATAAAAGCCTAGAGATTCCCATGTCTGTAAAGGCATCTTGATTCCTCTTCAGGATCATAGAGCAGCTTTTCTATTTACCACAGAAACCCTTTGAGTTGGGTTTCTTTCTGCCTTTTATAATACTTTTCATGATGTGATCTCTACTTACCTCAGCGGTGCTTTTCGCCCACCTTTCAATTGCTGTTCCAACAGCTGCTGCTCCAGCAATTGAAAAGCGAGCAGCCCCTAGTGTTCAATTGGACTATGCGACTGTGGTTGGTTCCAGGGCACTCGGGATCGACTCGTTCAAAGGCATCCCTTTTGCCCAGCCTCCAGTCGGCAAATTGCGGTTGAAGCCTCCGCAGCCCATTACCGGGGATCTTGGAACCGTGAGGGCTGTTGGAATTCCTCGTGCTTGCCCGCAGATGTACCTGCAGTCTGACGACATTCCCGAAGACGTTCTCGGAAGGTTCATCAACACACCATTTTTCCAGAAGCTTACTCACGCTGGCGAGGACTGTCTTACCATCAACGTTCAGAGACCCTCATCTGCCACCCCGGGATCTAAGTTACCTGTGCTTTTCTGGATTTTTGGCGGTGGCTTTGAGCTTGGCTCTACACAGCTCTATGACGGAACTTCATTGATCCTGAGATCTATGGCGCAGAGACGAGACATCGTCTTCGTTGCCGTAAACTACCGAGTCGGAGGGTTTGGTTTCTTGCCTGGCGCAGATATCAAAAATGATGGCTCCGCTAACCTAGGCCTCCTTGATCAACGCCTTGGACTTCAGTGGGTTGCTGACAACATTGCGAGATTTGGCGGTGATCCTGAAAAGGTCACCATCTGGGGAGAGTCTGCTGGCGCTATCTCCGTGTTCGACCAGATGGCATTGTTCGATGGCGACAATACTTATAAGGGAAAACCTCTCTTCCGCGGAGCAATTATGAACAGTGGAAGTGTTGTTCCTGCCGACCCGGTTGACTGCCCCAAAGGCGAAGTTGTATACAAAAAAGTGGTCGAAAAAGCCGGATGCTCCGAGGCCACCGATAAGCTCGAATGTCTACGATCCGTCGACTACACAACCTACCTTAACGCCGCCAATTCAGTCCCAGGGATCTTCAGCTACAATTCCGTTGCTTTGTCTTATCTTCCACGACCTGACGGCAAGACTCTCACCGCCTCTCCCGATAAGTTAGGTAGACGTGGACTTATTGCCAAAGTTCCCTTCATCATCGGTGATCAAGAAGATGAAGGCACCCTCTTTGCTCTCGTACAGAAAAACATTACAACCACCGAACTGCTCGTCGACTACTTCAGCACATACTTCTTCCACGGCGCAACCAAGGAACAACTCAGAGATCTGGTAGATACCTATCCCGATGACCCAGCCGCCGGCTCCCCCTTTAGAACTGGAAAGCGCTACCAGCTATATCCGCAGTTTAAACGGCTTGCTGCCATTTTGGGAGATCTGGTTTTCACTCTGTCTCGTCGTGTCTTCCTGGATATTTTCAGCCAGAAATTCCCCGACATTCCAACGTGGTCTTACCTCGGGACATATAACCACTTCATTCCAGTTCTCGGCACCTTCCACGCCTCCGATATTCTTCCTTCGTTTGGATTCACTCCTGGAATTCCCAGCACAAGCATCCAGAACTACTATCTTAGCTTCGTCAACACCCTGGACCCCAATAAAGGAACACCTTCTGGCTTCCCCAATTGGCCAAGATGGAGCGAAGGGAAGACACTACTTAACTTCGAGGCACTGAAGAACAGTTATCTCACTGATGATTTTAGGCAGGAAAGTGCTATGTACTTAGAAAAGCACACAGATATTCTACATATTTGATTGGCCTATGTTGGAAATATTGGAAATATAAATGAAGACCGGGGAGGGAGGAGTATCGGGTACTTTTTACATTTTGGATTGATATTTATTTGTACATAGTGAAAACAAATATAAGGGGCTATATCCCTTATATAATTTAATGGGAGTTCTCCTGTTTTAAGTATCTGCCGTGCTTGACTGGTATATCCCAGTGATAAATAGACCAGGCACAAGTTCTCCGCCGCAGCACCTTATGGACCCGGCCCAAGTCGACGAGGACCGTCAATTCAAATGTTCATAGTAAGATATTCTTCTCTTTCCTTCTCCCTTCGTCTGATAGAACCAGTTTGTGGTTAACTAACAAGCTCTTTGATGTCTGCACTAGGGACACTGGCGAAGCGTCCATAGAACCGAGCCTCCCCCACCTAACTAGTTTGCCATGTACAACACGGTTATGCTCATCGTCCAAGTTCTGATAAGTAGTTAATATTAGCTTGTTTTTTGTGGCCTCTAAGAGTTCGGCGTTTGTCCGCTGGGGCTTAAACTAACTCAACTACCGAGTTGCGCTTAACCAACTCGTTAAGTTAGCGCTTTGATGTGACTGGCTGGCCTGAAAGCCTAACTAACTGTCCAACTTATGATTTCGTTCCTTGAGATAGCCTCATCTTGCCTTCACATGTTTCAGCTTCAAACCTCCTCCCACGGGCGACGATGACCGCAAGCGACGTGAAGCCGCCGCAGGCTAAGGAGAGGCAAGGAACGCCGCCGCCGCCTCCGTACTCGCCAGTTACGCCAGGCAGGTCTCAGTCCTCCAGGACAACTCCCACTGCCCCTGAGTCCACGATAGCTGCGTCCCCGCTACCACCGGCTGCCTACCCGGCCATCAGCGGCATCTTTGAGTCCATTCCAGCCGTCATCGATCGTGCCAGACCGGCTCCGAACAAGAATGGAGCCGTCCCTGCTCTGCCACCACCGCAATTCATCAAGGAGCCAGCTCCAGTGCCTATCTCTGAAAGCGAGAACCCAGACGCCATCGCTCTAAGATCCGCCATCACTATTCTCCAAATACAGAAACAGCAGGCCCTGCGAGACATTCAGACGTTGGACAAGTTGAAACAGGCCGCCGCTGAAGATCCTTATGCTTTCGCTAGCGAGTTTCTAGCTGGCTCTCTCCAGTCGGACGACGGTGACTTATTTCACCCCTCCCCGCGCAAGGAAAATAATCAAGAAGATGATGGAACGGAAAGTGGCCCAGAGGCAATGGACGTCGACCAGGTGAAACCGACAGATGATAATAATAGTCCTGGCAGAAATCAGTCAAGGAAGCTCGGCAAAATACCAAAGCCGCAGAATATCGTGCGAATGCCTGCTATCAACTGGGCAAAGTATCATATAGTTGGTGAACCTCTGGACAAAATGCATGAAGAGCAAAGGCTAAGACCTACGCTTGGTGAACCACGCCATGATACTCCGTCCGCGGCATCTACCTCAAGAAGCCCAGAACACACTCTGGCAGCTCCATATCGGCCTTTTGTGGACAAAATTGAGCCTTCCGTCAAGTCTAGGAACGTTGGCAGATGATACCAGGATTGAGCAAATTCGAATATTCCATCTCATGAAGTGTCTTGACTGGTATATACACCAGCAGATATATCACGGTGATATTCTGGTATCTATTATAGCCAGAATCCCCGGCCTCTCGGAAGCATAATTCCACGTCACACACGGCCCAATTTTCCGACTATTCTAGATGGAAGAGCAAAGTATCGAGAAATTGAAGTACATAGCTGTCTTCTCGGAGGTCTCCACGCGACCTTAATTTTTTCGGCTGTTTCGGTGAAGGCGCATGAACTCCACGGGAGAACAGACCCACAAGCACATTAGGCTCATAAAATGCCCTACACTTTCTCATACTATATGTCCATAGCGTGTGAGGCAACTCTCCTCTCGGAGACTACTAAACAACAATCTACCACAATGGCCGAAATAGAGGTCATAAACCGGCTTTCCTTGATACACTGCAGTCGAGGTTACGTTAATTCGGACTGTTGCTTTAAATAAATAGATATAGACATTGCGGTTCAGTCTGTCATGAATCCTTTTAGTTCTCAGAAAATCAATGAAACAGTTCAATTCGTTATCTGCGTTCTCAATACCTCCATTTTCCATTTTCTGCCAAGATGAGGCGCTTAGCCCCCGGACCTCAGTCTAACCGGATATCATTTGCTAAACGACCAGATGAAAATACAGTGTAGGGTTGAGAGAGCTGCCATGACTACGGCCATCAGAAGCCCACAATGATAATTTTCTCTCTATCAAGCTCGTTTACCAGGAAGCGCTTCTTTCATCTTAGTGTTTCAAATATCAAATGCCAGTTAGCTACCATATCCACGGTCATCCAGGCAGGCAAAAACTGTAAGATCAAGAACATACATATGCATGCTCAACAGTGCGACTATTAATTATTTTACTGTAGGTGAATATCAAGATGAGGATTTCTTCCACTTTACTCGTGGGCGCTTTGTCTCGAATGAGGCAGAACAATTACGACAGAGATATGTCAAATTCAACATGAACGAGCTTGCAGCCACGGCAGCAAAGGCCACTGGTGCAACAAAATGCATTGACGTCCAGAAATGCCCTGATGGCCTATATAACAAAGCATTCTTACTTTCCATGGACAACGGAAAAGAAGTTATCGGCAAAATACCCAATCCCAATGCTGGGCCGGCGCATCTAACAATAGCTAGTGAAGTTGCTACCATGGAGTTTGTAAGGAACGACTGTACGGTGATTTAGGTATACTTAATTTTTTCTGACAAGTTTAATTATAAGGCTCGAAATGTTCTGCATACGCCAGTTCCACAAGTCTATGCGTGGAATTCCAAGGTTAATGGAGATAACCGCGTAGGAGCCGAATACATTATTATGGAAAGGGTCCCTGGGGTACCTCTAGGATTAGTCTGGGACTCACTTGAGCCTCCCGACAAGCTCAAGGTTTTCTTACAGGTATTCAAATACCAGAAAAGGTGGACGGCAGTGAAATTTTCCCAGTTTGGTAGCCTCTACTACTCCAAGGATCTTTCCACTAATGCCTTGACCGAGAACAACCTTTACATCGATAGAGATGGGCGGCCCATTAAAGACAACCGGTTTGCAATTGGGCCATCCATCAGTCGGGAATGGTTACAGGATGGCAGGGAGGATCTTCAGTGTCATAGAGGGCCATGTGAGCCTCCATACTAGCCAGCACGTGGAATGATTGAGCAAAAACTGTACTAATGGAATGATCAACAGGGACATCTCTTTTAGACTATCGTGCGGCAATTGGCCATCGCGAGGAGATAGCAATTAGGTCGTTGAGATATGTTCCAAAGCAATGTGCCATGCTTCATGGTCCCGGAGCCTACCAACCAACGGCCGGGAAGAAGCTTGCTGCAGTTAAGCTGTATTCCCAGATGCTTGAGCATATATTACCCAGCGAAGCGGGACTCACTTCAGGCCATCTATGGCATAACGATCTCCACTCGGAAAATATATTTGTCAATCCCGACAAACCCACGGAAATCACGGGTATAATTGATTGGCAATCTATACAAATAGCCCCTTTGATCGATCACTGCCTAGATCCTAGTTTCCTAGAATACGAGGGACCTGACGTGGGTGAAGACCCCCAACCACCAGCCCTCCGTGAAGACATTGATTCTCTTGACCCGGACGAAAGAAGAGCAGCTATCAAGCAGTTCTACGATACATCTGTCATGGTAGCGTGGAGAATGCTCGTGAAACGAAAGAATCCCGACCAACATGCTGCTATCCGATTCCGAAAGTCAAAAGCCGGACATATGCTGGGTCTCTCGCAGAGCTTGTTTATTTTTGGTGAAGCGCATTTCCGAGCTCTGGTGTTGGATCTAAGGGATGAGTGCGTAAAACTGGGGAAGGAATTCCCACTCGGGTTTTCCACCGCGGAAATCTCCGAGATCGAGGCAGATGTGAGGGCTGCCGATGTTGGGATAGGGGTTATGAACATGATCATTGAGAAGATGGGTGATTTATGGCCGGAGAAGGGGGTAATTGATCATGAGAACTATGACTTGGTCATGGCAATGCTACATGATATCAAAACGGAGCTCATTGAGCGTATGGTTCATTCTCCAGAGGACAGGGAGGCCTTTAACATGTTTTGGCCATTTGACTGCTAGTGCTGTCGAGATACAGAAAATGGTAGATGGGTATTTATTCTCAGGCAGACCCAAGGATATATGGTTCTATTGCTATGGCGTATGCTGAGGATGTTGCAATGAAGCTTTGATATGGAGATGAGACCTGAACTAGTCCTAATTTGGCATGGTCGAGGTTAAAAAAGTTTTCGTTATCAGACCACCCGAAGAGGTTCGATTAGCTAGCACTTCCATCGCAGCAAGCTACTCAATCCCACAACGAGCAGCGAAAGATGAAGCGCAAGGCGGACTCGGAGGCGCAAAGCCCAGCCGAGAATGGCGACCAACTGGCAAAGAAACGAGCCATCTCAGCTCAATCGGTGGTTTCATCCTTTGCAGATGGTCTTCTAGATAAGGATACGCTGGAGAAGTACAAGGCAGCCTATGCGAAATCAGGCCCGTAAGTAACGTTTCTCTATGATCTCTTCTGTCTATATGGCTCAATTGATGATGTGGAAGCTTGCTAATTGCTTAAACATCGCGAAAAAAGATATAAACATGGAGTTATCTCTCCGCTATTCAACCAGAAGCTCCTCCGTGCTGTCCGCAGCGAGATTCAAGAACACATTTCTTTCACGGAGAAAGAGACCGACATCTACAAGATCTACCAGTCTGGTGATTTGGCCAATCTCGATGGATTGGATGATGAGTCGCTCTCGCGGCTGCCCTCTTTGTTGAAGCTACGAAATGCATTATACTCGGAGCCGTTTCGAGAGTACCTATCTGAAGTTACTGGTGCTGGAAAGCTGAGCGGTAGCAAAACCGATATGGCTGTCAATGTCTATACTGGTGGATGCCATCTGCTATGCCATGACGATGTGATTGGAAGCCGACGAGTGAGCTATATCCTATACCTGACTGACCCGGACGTGCCATGGAAGCCAGAATGGGGTGGAGCTCTGCGATTGTTCCCGACCACGACAGAAATTAATGCGGACGGGGAGGAAGTCAAGATCCCCAAGCCGGATCATACTGTTTCTATCCCACCGGCTTTCAACCAGCTGAGTTTCTTTGCGGTGCAGCCCGGTGAGAGTTTCCATGATGTCGAGGAGGTGTATCACATGGAAACGAAGGGCAGTGAGAAGGAGGTCAAGTCTAGAGTGCGCATGGCGATCAGTGGCTGGTTCCATATCCCGCAGGAGGGCGAGGACGGGTACGAAGAAGGTCTTGCGGAGAAACTGGCTGAACGAAGCAGTCTCCAGCAGCTTCAAGGTGAAGGCGATGAATTTGATCGACCACAGTCGCAGTTCGTTCCGTATAAGCCAGTTGATGAGCAAGATACATCTTCCAAGGGCAAGGAACCCGCCAAGTCTGCAGGAGAAGACGATGATGACGATGAAGGGTTCAATGACAAAGACCTTGATTTCCTGCTCAAGTACATTGCCCCGTCGTACTTGACGCCTGACGTAGCAAGCCAGCTGAATGAGATTTTCGACAACGACCGAATTGTCCGACTTGAGAAGTTCCTTTCAGACAAGTTCACCCCACGTCTGCGGTCGTATATCGAGAGCCAGGAAAAGGATGAGACATTCCCTACCTCTGCCGAAGAGATCGAGCAGAAGACGAATTGGAAGGTGAGCCGGCCACCACATAAGCACCGATACCTGTACCAGCAACCATGTCTAGACAAGACCAACGACGGACAAAAGGAAAAGACGCCCATCCAGGAGCTGCTGGAGGATCTTCTTCCATCACGCGCATTCAAGAAATGGCTCTCTGCAGTTACTGGGCTGGATGGCTTGCTGGGCTACAACCTTCTTGCCCGCAGATTTAGACGCGGGGAGGACTATACCCTTGCCAGCGGATACGAAGGGGAATCGCCCCGCCTTGAGTTTACCATTGGCATCACCCCGACCCCAGGCTGGGAGAAGGAAGAAGAGGATGAGGAGGAAGAAGAAGAGGCTGGGAAAGCAGACAAGACCAAAACTGAGACCAACAGCAAAGCCAAGCCAGAGAACGGCACAGCAGCAGCAGCAGCAGCAGCAGCTGAAGAAGAAGAGGTAGCTGTTGGAGGCTACGAAATCTACATGGCAGGTGACGACGACGAAGAAGAGGATGAAGCTGGCGCGGCAGCGGAACAAACGCTGGGCTCGACGGGAAGCAAATCAAAGGTGAACAAGTCAAAGGCCGACCCGGCCATCTACAAGTCGTCGACCAATGACGAGGACGACGGAATCCTGTTCAGCATGGCGGCCGGCTGGAACCGCATGAGCATTGTGCTACGGGACCGAGGGCCGCTGAAGTTTGTGAAGTATGTGAGTCGTGCAGCCAAGGGCGATCGGTGGGATATCACCGGCGAAATAGACGTTGAGTATGATGAGGATGAGGAGGGCGACGAGTAGATGTACATCCAGAGCAGGTAGAAGCAGCAATACAATGTCTGTCGATCAAGAAGCCCCTTTCTTACCTTTACAAATTGCAGGCAGCAGTAAGTTAAGGCAGGTCGAAGCCACTTTTCTGCCGCGGGAGATAGCCTGAAAGGGCCTCTCTGGGCTGACCACGCTAACACTTTCTGCCCTTGTAGCGTAGGGGTTATCGCGTCATACTTGTAATTCATATTATGTCATATGAAGGTCACCAGTTCGAATCTGGTCGGGGGCACATCTTTCTTTTTTGCTTTTTTGATTTATTCTTCTACTAGAACAACATCCACATGTCCTCAACAACAGACATCGCGACTCGGTTTTGGCCATCACATCACATCTCCATGAGACTCATCAGCTCGTCAGAGCACTAGGCAAAAGAGGGCTTGGATTGCCATCCAGGCCGACTCGCTTCTTCACTTTCTCCCAGGGCGCAACCCGAACCAGGCAGCGGGACCGAGATGAGATGGGAGAGGGCTCGGGGTAAGCCAATACCAAGGCCTTAGTTTCGTCAACTCGGTACTTATCACCCTCTAGCTTCGCTTCAAGATGCCCTCTGCCCGCTCAGCCTCATCGCACGCACGCCAGGACCCTGCCTGCGCTGTCAAAGGAACGGGAGCGCAGCAGTTGGGGGCCAGCACTAGCAGATCCTATTTT